CTCTCTCTCTCTCTCTCTTTCTCTCTCTCGTTGTGGCTTGCCCTTTCTCTCTCTCTCTCTCTCTGGCTTGCCCTCTCTCTCTCTCACTCGTGACCAATGGACCCCGAAAAATACGCCGAATTGGATAGCGAAGCTTATTTAGGAAGGGTTGGCGAAATCGCTAAAAATGTTTGGCAAAGTTTTGGTTTGGGCTAGCGAAGAGGAAATGTCCATTTATGAGTTCCTGTTTTGTGAACAACGAAGTGTCATTTTTTAGAGAATTACAAGTTATGGGCAATCACAAATATCTCAGAATTGCACTTCCGATTTTACTTAGTCGTTTTTTTTTTTATGGGGGATTATATCCCGAAGTGCGTTCCGGATTTTGGTACCGAAAACGCACTTCGGGATTTCGAAATCTCACTTAAGTCGTTTTTTTGGGGCAATGATTATATCCCGACGCGCGTTCGGGATTTTGGTACCGAAAACGCAGTTCGGGATTTCTGGATTTTACTTAGTTCTTTTTTTGGTGGGGGGGTGATTATATCCCGACTCGCGTTCGGGATTTCGGTACTGAAAACGCACTTCAGGATTTCGGGATTTTACTTAGTTGTTTTTTTTGGGGGCGGGAATTGTATCCCGATGTTCGTTCGGGGTTTCGGTATCGAAAACGCACTTCGGGATTTCGGGATTTTACTTGGTCGTTTTTATTTGGCGGTGATTATATCCCAACGTGCGCTCATGATTTCGGACCAAAAATGCACTTCGGGATTTCGGGATTTTACTTAGTCGTTTTTTTGGGAGGGGTGATTATATCTCGACGTGCGTTCGGGATTTCGGTACCGAAAATGTACTTCGGGATTTCGGGATTTTACTTAGTCGTTTTTTTAATGGCGTGATTATATCCCGAAGTGCGTTTGGGATTTCGGTACCGAAAACACACTTCGGGATTTCTGGATTTTACTTGGTCGTTTTTTTTGGGGGATGATTACATCGTGACGTGCGTTCGGGATTTCGGTACCGAAAACACACTTCGGGATTTCGGCATTTTACTTAGTCATTTTTTTGGCGGGGGGGATTATATCCCGGCGTGCGTTCGGGATTTCGGTACCGAAAACGCACTTCGGGATTTCGGGATTTTACTTGGTCGTTTGTTTTGGGGCGGTGGTTATATCCTGATGCGCGTTCGGGATTTCAGTACCGAAAATACACTTCGGGATGTCAGGATTTTACTTAGTCATTTTTTTGGTGGTGTGATTATATCCCGAAGTGCGTTTGGGATTTCGGTACTGAAAACGCACTTCGAAATTTCGAGATTTTACTTAGTCGTTTTTTGGGGGGGGTGATTACATCCCGACGTGCGTTCGGGATTTCGGTACCGAAAACGCACTTCGGAATTTCGGCATTTTACTTAGTCGTTTTTTTAAGGGGGGGGGTTATATCCTGACGTGCGTTCGGGATTTCGGTACCGAAAACGCACTTCGGGATTTCGGGATTTTACTTAGTCGTTTTTTTGGGGGGGGGGATTATATCCCGACGTGCGTTCGAGATTTCGGTACCGAAAACGCACTTCGGGATTTCGGGATTTAACTTGGTCGTTTTTTTTTGGCGGTGATTATATCTCGACGAGCGTTCGGGATTTCGGGATTTCACGTGAGTTATTTTTCGGGGGTATTTTTATATGCCAACATGCGTTCAAAATTTGTAAAAAAAAGAGTGTAAATCTCCCACCCTGTCAAATTTGTTTTTTCTCGACTTCACTGTATGTTTATGAGTTGTATGTGCGCCTGCAGCAATGTACATCCTTATTTGTCATTTGTGATGTTTGCGCCGACAATGAATTGTTTGAGAGAGACCAAACGGCACGAAAGGCAAACCGAGAACGAAAGGAGTGCGATTTAGTAGGGGGAGGGCTGAACTTGGGGCATTTGAATGGGTTGGGTTGCCATAAAAAGGTTGGCGGCAAAAGATAGGTTAATCATGTGTGGCGGTTGTTTAGATTTCTTAGGGTCAGACAACAATCAACATTGGGAAAAAAAAAGGCTTGGAACAATTGGCGGTTTGAGTCAATATTGACAGGGTGCGGGGGTAGAAGGGGGTGTTGTTGGCTATGTGCAGTTCTTTTGAGGGATTCTGAGGCACACTGAAGTACCTTGAAAGGGTGTTGTCCTTTGAACGTGCAGCTCCAGGCTTGTCAGACGCATGTATGGGCAGGTGTTCTTAATGCTACGACAAAATTTATTAACTATATGATGCTATAATGATGGTCCAGGCTAGGCAGGTGCATGTATGGGCATGTGTCCGAGTCTCCTACGCTGGACCTACATACTTGATCTGCCTGTCCTGAGGTTATGACCAACTGCCCATACGCTAACAGTTGTGGGTAAACACACCCGTGCCCATATGCCCGCCCTACGTCAAGGCGGGCATCCATTCTCGAGCAAGGCCAATTTTTTGACAT